CATACACACACACACACACACACACACACACACAAACACACATACATATACACACAGACGCACACAGAGACACATACACACATACACAGACACGAATATACACACACACATACACATACACACAAACGCACACAGAGACACACATACACACATACACAGACACGAATATTCACACAGACGCACACAGAGACACACATACACACATACACAGACACGAATATACACACACAAACACACCCACACCCACACCCACATCGGTACCGAATGCCCAAACCACTCCTCACGTCGCTTTCGAGTCGCTCTATTGGTACCATCCTCATTTGGGTCAAAACATTATTGGGATCCTGACTGGAAGTCGAACGCGAGGCGCACCTCAATAACGAATTTGATTAACTCTAGAAACTTTATCCCCTGCTCAATTTTCCAAAATGGAAATCTTTTATTTCAGTCATGGAATGCCATCGGATGCGAAAGGTTGGTTGCGATTCAATTCCACCCGGAATACAGTACCTGTAGTCAGAAGGAAATCATCTGCAATGGTAACATGGGTGTTGTTCCGTGTTGATGATGGGTCAACCAATACAGGAATGGACTGGGGCCGGTCTAACCCCTTCTGGTCGGCCAAAAGCCTAAAACTGGGAACTGAATACTTCCCCACGTCCCTAATGTGACAGCTACTTCCATAATAGTGAATGTTTTCAGTGAAATGTGCTGGACCACCAACTGACGGCAAATCGGTCCCTCAGGTAAGTGATATTATCGGTAAAGATGTAAATCGTACAAATTAATGGTTATGACTCAAGAACTCTGGGATACGCCGTGCATTTGTAAGTCACTTAGAACGGGGGATATGTATATAATACTATTTTTCCGAAAAAACATTGAAAAGTATACTAAATTACAGCTTTCGTCCGAAGCACTACCTTCAATGGCTGTCAGCAGTAATGCAGAAGAAAGCGAAGGTAAACATAACAAAATTCTGATCTTTCTTCTCTTTTTCTTTCATAGCTGGAGAAGCCCTTCTTTTCTTAGGGGACTTGGCTATCCATAGTCTAGTCTTACGATTCTTTGACTCTCCTATTTGTTCATGAACTGCTTTGCGTTTTTCAGCCAGTTACCGTGCTCGAGTAAACCGGCTCCGTCTGTTGAAATGGAAGGCTAGGCTGGCTAGGAAGTTCAGAAGAAGATTCGTTCATTGAGCGAAAGGATTTCTCAGAGAATCATACCCAAGTATTTAATAAGTCTGATCTCTCTTAAGGAAAAACAGTTGTTTCAGAAGAGAAGAAAAATTCCACTTATGAAACTTATCTCGACTTAAGCTTTCCCTACTGCACTACCCCCACCCTTCAACCCACTCCCATCGAGTGACTGGACACTCGGTTTTTTTCCGTCAATAAATGTCTGTGCGACTTCAGTTGTATTTTTAGATATTCATAGACATTGACGTCAAATAATTTCAACATTTTTATTAAAATCCTCTTGGATTTTTTCTGTAGAATTCTTATAAGTGACTGAGTTCGGTTCACATTTAGAAAGCGTCAGGTGTAGTGAGCTGGAGTACATGGGCTAGTTTGAAGTAGTCGACAGATAGGCAGTAAGCGAACATTCCAACACACGGATTTGTCTGAAATTCTCTTGAATATCAAGAGGGTTTCTGGAGAAAAATCGAAGTTTTACATAATATAACTGAGTGGGTTCAGCGCTATTCTGGAAGCCTCAAAGCGCCTTATGGTAGTGGAACTGACTAAATAGCCAACACGATGCTTCCTCGTGAGAAACTTTTAACAGACGCAAAGCAACTATGTAGAGCTTTGTCGCAGACTGCTCCTCCCTCCTCATAACCCCGCAAAATTCCATCTTATCCAAAGTCTTATTCATTTGGGAAAGTAAGGAAATCGTGCTCAGATTCCTCTTGATTCCGGCAGCCTCACCCACTTCTGATCAGTAATGAAGTGATGTAGTGCTGGGTGAGGGACCGCTTAGCTCGGAAATCGATCCCGTGTCTGTATGGACTAGCCTGGATCAATCGAGTTTTCTATCCCTTTGATATCTGGCTAGTGGCCTGGGATTGAATATCGATTGGCCATATCAAGGCTATCTATAGGTCACACACTCCTTCAAAATGACCCTACGATTATAAATGGAAGAGGAACATCCAAAAAGACGGAATCGATTAACGCCAAGGTCCTTAATTCTTTTCATATTTTTTTGGTGAGCTTCAAAAGTTGGTCTCGATATTCCAGCCCCTATAGGCTTTACAGAAAGCCACGCTGGTATGAAAAATGTGTCCCAGATGTACTGATCGTATCCGGCCCAGTTTGAAGAGCTGAATATACCGATCTGAGCAGGATTCGATTCTAAGGTATATTAAAACTTGCCGCAGAGCTCCTGACTAGCGTTTCGTCTTCATTTATAAGAGTGATAGCATCTAACAAACAAATTTACAACCTGAATATTCTGAGCTGCTTTTTTCTGATCGTCAGTCAGTCGTTCTTCGTCCACATCATTCAGATCGCTGGCACGAATCAGAAAATCTGCACAGTTTCCAAAACACTTCATGAACTGAAAAAGCTTGAGATAAGCTAAGCTCCCCTGCAAAACGTCCCTTGTTTCGCTCTCAGTTATCGAGTACCTCATCGCACTTGGCTTTGTAACGGATACACTCCGTCTGTGACCGTCCCGTGAACCCTTCCATTTTTTCAATGACAATGCCACTATAGGTGACTGCAAGCGGATGTGTCATGGTATCTTTTTTCAAAAGTAATTTGCGAGTAAAACTAACGGTTTTCTGCCATGGGATCCACTTTGGTCACATACGCTTTAGTGGCATCAACTGGAAAAGACATGAGATCGAAGACTCCGACCAGCCAGCTAAGTAACATTTGTTTAAAATGATTTCATACATACTTTTCCGTCGATGTTAGCAAAGCTGAAAAAGCTTGAGATAAGCTAAGCTCCCCTGCAAAACGTCCCTTGTTTCGCTCTCAGTTATCGAGTACCTCACCACACTGAGCTTGACAAACGAGGTAAATCTTACAAGCGCCACCTCCCTTTCTAAGGGAAAAATCAAGCCTTTCCCCTCTGCCCTTCCCTGCTTGTCCTCCTACGACACTCCTTCCCTTCCCTAGTATCCCCCTGACATTTACAGGTACCCAGATGTTTTATAAGAAGATGGGAGCTGTCACTGCCCTGCTTGTGAAATCCTCGAACAATACCTCGCTGATTGAGCCTGGGTGAAGTAACTAATCACCAGACCTAATTGGAAGTTTGACGAAGCGCATAGGGCATCACCCCTCGCAGAATCTCTACCGACCTGAAAATGACAGAAGACAGAAGACGGGAGTATTTTGGCTCCACTCTTCAGGCTGAGGTTGCTGATCCTGGGGTGGAGACGACCACTTGATTGAACTGAAAGACTTCGTGACCGCCTCTCTTTGAAGTTGTACTTCTAGCTCTTCACTGACACAGTGTCCCATCATTCGGAACTTTTCGGGGGGTTCTAATTGTATGGAGTTCGAAAAATAAATGGTGGTGTCGCATTCACCGGGTTGACTACGCCATCCCAGATCGTTTGCACTGTCATTTTAAAAGAACTGACACATTTATGTTTCTTAGATCCCGTAGGTAGCTACTGAGACTAGGAACTTCTTCGGAAGTAACCCATAACACAAGCCAATAACTTTTGGCGTTCACATTTCAAGTGCAAACTGCCCTCATAACTACTAATGTGTTCGGTAAGTGTTAATTGGAGCTGTAGCTCCGAATGCCATCAAATTTGCTAGTTTGGCAAGATGATACAACCGAGTGAATGAGAGTACGACTTTACAGAACCAGACAGTAGGTAAGGTTAACCTATATAATCAACTTCAGAAGTCTTAAGGGAAGGTGAAGTGTATGGCGCAAGTCCATACAGTTTTTTGATGACGCATTCGACTTTCCTTAGAATTGTAGTATGGGCTTTGAATCTGTGTTTGGTTTATATACTTACTTAGCTAACAGATGTGTAAGCGGTCTTCAAATCTCTCAGACGGGTCTGGTAATTCTCAGTCGATCTTGAGGCCAGGCTTGATTGACCTGAGCCGAGGATCCACCGAGACATTGCGTATGTGATAGTGCGCCCAAGAAGTATAAATAACATAATACTGCAGTGGGCAGGGCGCAAACTGGGAACGGCTTCCATCAAAGTTAATTTTAGTGGGCATAATCACGATTCATAACCAGATATGACAAGAGTCCTGAAGTCGCAGTAATGAAGTGGATGAGCACGATACCTTGATAGCATAGTTACCGGTTCCAGCCTAGTCTTAACCCATAACCCTTTCTTCATATACCTTTCCCAGAAAAGCAAGTTCAAAGTTAGTACTAGGTCACGGAATTGAATTCACAGTAAGAAACATAGACACTTTCGACTCCGCCTCGAAACTGAGCCAGGTTGGCCGTAAAACAAGCAGTTTCCATTATGGGAATAGGTTTTCTTGAAAAACGTCCGCCCTTTAAATAGCGACCTTCAGAGATTTTCAAAGCCAAATGATCGTTCACGTAGTTCTATTTCTGCTAACGTTCGCAGCCACTCTCAGTAAATGGTAAGCTCGTGCTTACTACTATTGATTTATTGATTTTTTCCGTTCTCTTTCAGTGGTCGAAACAATGGTAATGGAGCATGTAATAATGACGTCTATAACAACGGATATACCACCGTTAGTAAGTGGCTGATTGAATCCAGAAACTAGCCTTAATCAATATGTATTGATTCCAGGTAGCTTCGTAACCCCGCCTGATACCTATGCTGTTATGCCTCCATCTCCACCTGCGTATCCAGCTCCTCCTCCACCCCCACCACCACCGCCTCCTCCTCCACCACCGCCACCACGACCACCTTCTTATGCGACCGCTTATCGCGGACCGACTGTTTATAGTCAAGTCTCAGGTTCCATATCCACCTTGGTAGAACCTTCTGCGCCAGCAATGCCTTCAAACGGAGAAAATTCTTTCGCTCTTCTTGGTAAGCAAATTGAAATTGACTGGGTGGTCTTACCGTAATTTACTAAAGTGATCAAGAAGAGGTGATAAACGCATTTATTCCACAGAGTGGAATGGAGAAGTCGACTTATTGTAGAGGTATCAAAAATGTCAACTTCAAAGAGTTATAGACTCAACGAGGAAGAATCTCATGCGAAGGGGTGGGATTGCAGACAGCAGCGGGTCACCTTTTCATGTACATTCTGTCTAAAAGCAATTCTGACCACTCCCCCGACGCGAAGGTTTCACAGAAGTCAGTAGATGCGTTTTGAAACTACGAAAATTTCAGGGGCAAAATTTAGTTCTCTCCAAGCACTTACAGCCAACTGCAGTGGTCTATTTTTAGTCTCTCAGCAATACTTTGACTTTCAGATTCTCCAGGCCCATATAGAAAGAAAAACCTCAAGGCAGCAGCCAAGCGACGTTACTGTAAGTGTCATTTTGATCGTTTTCCGGATTTTATTCACTATATTTACCATAGTTTCAGATCAAAATAGGCGTTTCGCGAATCTGCAAAGAAAGGCTGTGAAGCGCAGAGTGAAAGCACGAAAGGCTGTACGGACAAAGCATGCCTAGTATCAGTAGACTCTGAAGTTTCGATTACTTCAATAAATTGTTCGCAGCACATAAGTAATTGTATGTATTCACAAGTGATTCGTGTAGATTCTCTATGGTAAACATTCTTCTGAGCACAATGAACAGGAAATCTTACAGAAAACCTCCAATGCTAAGTCGAGCTTGATTTATAGCAACGCACAGCTGTACCTGAACATTTTCGCAATAAATCGCACTTTCTTCCAAACTACTATCGCACTGAAGAGAGATCTGGGTGAGGGGGTGATCGCCAATTTAACCCATGCTACGAGTACGTACGACACATTCCCCAATCACCGGGGAGGTGGTTCAGAGTGGAGCTTGCGTCGAGAATTTTGCGGGCAAAAGTGGACGGGTGTAAGAGGTTGGTTTGTTAATTTGGAAGTGATGATTTTGGGAGACGGGCGGTAGGAACGGTTCTGTGTGATCGAAGCGCCGCACGCGGCTGTCGCGGACTGCGAAGTTCTAGCGCTTCTTCATACAGCTCAATTGCTATGCGATTATTACTTTTGTCATGGTTCTATTGCCAGTTCTTGTGTTCCGTATTTCTTACTTGCTGCTGCATTCTGCTACATTCCTTCGCACGCGGCAACTCTCTCGCCGCGACGCGACAATTTCGTTCCTACTGCACCACACCCGTTGGAGACCACAGGTCCATAGGACAATAAGGTTGCGCAGGACTATAAACTTGTCTGCTTTCGGAAAACCTTCGAACATGATCCTACTGCTTATCAGTAGCTTTGATGATGGACACGAGTCTTACTTAGCTAAAGTTTATTACTTTAAAACTGGAAACTGAGATGGTACTGCTGAGTAGCTCTTCTACGCCGCTTGGGACCGTCGCATTCTTCGCACATTTAGTAGCATCTTGGCTTTTTCGTAGAAATGACGTTTGTATGGAGCCGGTTGAGAATAGGTTCCTTCTGAAATATTTTAGTTTCGGCAAAAAGATTTTTAGAACTATTAAATCTAATGACTTACGTGATACTGGACTAGGACGTTGTGGTTGAGCCGGAGCTACTGGAGCTGCTGGGGCAACTGGGGCTGCTGGGGCAACTGGAGCTGCTGGGGCTACTGGAGCTGCTGGGGCAACTGGAGCTGCTGGGGCTACTGGTGCTACCGGTGCTGGAGCGGGTGGTGCAGCTGGACGTGGTGGTGCTACTGGCACTATTGGTCCGCCTGGATTTGAATATGGTGGCGCAACTGCATATCCGCCTGAGCCACCAGGAGGACTAATCGGTCTCGGTGGGGAAACTGGAGGGCTAACAGGTCTAGGTGGAGAAACTGGAGGGCTCACGGGCCTAGGTGGAGAAACTGGGGGGCTAACAGGTCTAGGTGGAGAGACCGGAGGGCTTACTGGCCTAGGTGGAGAAACGGGGGGACTGACAGGTCTAGGAGGAGAAACAGGAGGGCTTACAGGTGGAGGTTGTTGATATCCTCCTGGTGTTGGTGGGCGTGGAGGAGGTGCTGGAGGCTGATAAGGCCGCACAGGTGAAGTAGCTTGTGGGGGTGATACAGGTGCCGATGGTGGAGGAGCCACAGGAGCAGCTACAGGACGAGGTGCCGGAGGAGCAGCTACTGGTGGAGGTGCTACAGGAGCAGCTACAGGACGAGGTGCCGGAGCAGCTGCTACAGGTGGAGGTGCCACAGGAGCAGCAACAGGAGCAGCAACAGGTGGAGATGGCTTGGGAGCTGCTACAGGTGGAGATGGCTTGGGAGCTGCTACAGGTGGAGATGGCTTAGGAGCAGCTACAACGGGTGGTGGCGCCACGGGAGCTGATACACTTGGAGGTACAGGAGCAGGTAGTGGAGCAGCTACAGGTGGAGATGCCACAGGAGCAGCAACAGGAGCAGCAACAGGTGGAGCTGCCACGGGAGCAGCAACGGGTGGTGAGTAGTTGGGTGGTGGCATTGCATAGCCTGCAAATTAATTATTATATCTTCAGATTTTGTAAAAGGGTAAGAAAAATGGTAAGACTATTACAAATTAACGAACTATCGCTGCCGCCACCGCCGCCGCCACGGCCGCCGCCTCCGCCGCCTCCGCCGCCACCACCTCGTCCGCCACCGCCGCCGCCACGGCNCGGCGGCCGCCGCCGCCGCTTCCGCCGCCACCACCTCCTTTTCCTTTCTTGCCTCCACCTCCTCCGCCTTTCTTGCCTCCACCTCCTCCGCCTTTCTTGCCGCCACCTCCTCCGCCTTTCTTGCCTCCACCTCCTCCACTTCCCTTGCTACCACCGTAACCGCCACAGTTAGGACCTGTAAATGATAGATTTAGTATGCAGATACAATAAATACCCTGTAAAATTTGCTCAGGTATCAACCATAAAAACGAAGTAGTTGTATGATTTTAATGGAACTTGACTCACTTCCAGGAACGCATGGAGGAAGTCCACCGCCGCCGGGGCAATTAGGACCTGTAATTGACAGAATGGTCCAATGAAGAAATCAAAACTCAATGATTATCCTATCTTTCACCCTGAAAAGTCTTTTTTCATTGAGCAAAGTCTTTAGCGTGCGTGAATCGTCTCCGACGCCCCCGGATTCTGCTTTTATTCGGAATTGCTGTGGCGTTTTGAGTGCGTATGTGAATAGACAACGTGCCGCGATGGTCAGTCAATATAAGTATAAGTTAATGCTTTTTAAAGAAGAGTCCTGTACCAGTTATAGCCCAGAGTGATGGTAAACTCGCTTGGTCTAGGCGGATCTCAGTATTGGGTTCGATCTTCGGACCATGTCCCACTTATCGCTACCCCACCTCGCATTTATTCAGAGATTATTTCATCTTTACATATCAATTATAAAAATAAAAGGATGTTGCCTGATGGTAATACGTTGCGACTTACTTCCCGGAACACATGGAGGAGGAAGTCCGCCGCCTCCGGGACAGTTAGGACCTGTAAGGGACAGAATCGCTCATTGTAAAAAACTGAACTGCTGTCCTATGAAGGTGGACTCGAGAAAGCAGTCAACTTTCTCACATCAACCACAAAAATACAAAGANGACTGGCCAAATATTGCGACTCACTTCCAGGAACACATGGAGGAGGAAGTCCACCGCCGCCAGGACAGTTGGGGCCTGCAAGCGTCAGATTAATTTTTTTAAAAAGCTGTGTCGCCATTTATGAAAATGGATTTGAGAAAGCAGTCAGCTCTCTCAAATCAACCATAAAAGTGCAAATATAACAATATAATTGAAATATTGGAAGACCTACTTCCAGGAACGCATGGAGGGGGACGTCCGCCGCCGCCTGGGCAGTTTGGACCTGGAAGGGACAGAATTGCTCATTATAAAAAGCTCAGTTATTACCCTACACCAGTGATTTTAAGTGTACAGTTCAGCTTTCATACTAGTTGTGAAAATTAGAGAAGTTTGTAAGATTTGAATGCAACGACTCACTTCCAGGAACACATTGGCCTCCACCGCCACCGCCGCAGTTCGGACCTGTAAGTGGCAGAATAGCTCAGTATAGACAAAAGAGGGCTTTTAGAAGAGGACTTTGACAGTAAGTCAACTCCACATAGCTATGAGTTGGTACTCACTTCCAGGAACGCATGGACCGCTGGAGCCTAGGCCGCCACCACCTCCACCACCACCACCACCGCCGCCGCCACCACCGCCTGCACCACCGCCGCCTCCGCCTCCGCCGCCGCCTCCTTTACCTCCATAGGTAGGATATTCACTGAAATAGAGGTGTTTCTCGGAGTAAAACTCAATTCTGCTTTTCGCTCTTACTAGAAAGTGAAAAAGTTGTGAAATTCAAGAATTGCACATGTTGTGAATTCCCGCAGCTCACTCACCAAGAGGCTATGGCAACGAGAGCGATTAACAGAAAGGTCCGCATGCTGAACCGATGCCGGATGGTAGCAGCTATGACTGTGGCGAGCATTTTATACAGGAGGCGCTAGAGGTCATCCACTTGACAGTTCAGTTCTTGACGATAATTCCGTTAGAGTAATCGGCTGCGGTTGACCAGCTTAGCCTTGGCGGGGCATTTTGTTTTCTTCTTCACCATGGCTTGCCCCATTCATTTTCGCCCTACTTTCTATTATATGTAGTAATGGCGAACAGGCGAGGTCAAATCTCAGACTGATCGTTAATACTGCTATGCTGACGTCACGTCTCGCGGAAAGAAAAGCAGATTTCGCTTCTCTTCAACGAAGCTGTCCATTCGTCGGGAGAGAACGTCCGAATTCCATCGCTAGAAATTGGTTTCTGAATCTCCATTCACTTCTGTGATAGTTTCCAGAATATGAACTCCATAACCATCGCTTTCCCTACGGCTTGTCTAATTTAAAGGCACGGTTCACGATAAAAAGGTTACTG